CAGTGGAACTCCTTTAGAAGCTTCACAGCTGAGTCATATAACTGCCCATCCGTCCTTGCAACATAGGCTGTTTAACCTAGGCTGATACAGGAGGGAAGAGTCCTTAATGAAATGGCTTATGCAAGACATTAAAGATATGTGGTCATCACCAATGGAGACTCCCATGATTAACATGGGCTGGGGGACTATAAAGGAGGGATAGGCATTACTGAGAGAACTAGGTATGAGAAAAGCAATATATGATGCCCAGCTCACTGGGCGAGATAGGGCTGTGTTCACCAGAGTTATAAAGGAAAGCTTAATTCAACTGGGACCTCGACGATGGTATAGAGCTTTAATGGTTTTGCTAAGTCCCTTAATGGGACAGGATCTTTGTAAAGTGAGAGAGGCTTTAGCAGATCTAAGTGACTCGAATAGGCACATAAAATGTGTCTGTAGAACACCAGAGCAAACTACAAGAGAAACAGAAAACACACAGACAGAAGAAACGGTCCATTTGGGTCACTCACAGACAAATGCAGCAAGTGCCAAGCAATGCCCGCTACTGCAATAATGGCATGACATAATACAACTGGCAGATTTCTAGTTGGATAAGGCCTGCTCCCAGGGGTGGAACACACATTTGGTGCTATAGACCAGGCCAACCTCTGTATCAGGGAAGGCTCCAGGCTCCAGGCTCCAGCGGGGAAGACATTGTAAGTATACTGTTTGATGAATATGGTACACCTACTGGGATATCTACTAGGTGTTTGTATTTATATCCATGTTTGTTTAGACGTGTCTACTTCCTTCCATTCATCATTATAGTAGGGAAAACACCACTGAGATAGATCAGCTGCTACATCTTGAAGACAAATAATGGGGAGGCCCAAGAAGTCACTATCTTGCCATGATACAAGAGAGATAGCCCTGCATCTGCCACCCTCACCAAAGCTCAGGGAAATTCACTGAAGAGTGGCTGAAAGTTTGTAAGAGCCAGAGGAAGGAGCGGAGTGTGACCCGGATGTTTCTCTGGTAAGCCACGGTCCCACCTCCTTCCCATGCTCTGCGGAAGGAGTCAAGCCGGTTAAGGGGTGGAGTCACAGTCATATTGGAGCAGGGGTGAACACCAAGCAAGAGACTGGGGGTGGGAGATGGATGGTGCGTGCATTTCAAATATGGAAAAGAAAAAGCCTATAAGAATCCATGTTTTTTGTAAGTCACCCCCTCCCAAATGTCATGTAAACCCAAATAGAAATGTGTTAGGTCAGTTTTGTTAACCAGCGTCAGGATCAGGAGACTCAGTGACTGAGAGCCGGTCTCCCAGTGAGCGGGAAGGGGAAAATTTAGTGAATGGCTGCTGAGCGAGGGTGTATCGGGTTCCTGTAGGGTTCCTGATAGGTGGTCCAATCCCAAGTGGTCAACCCTAAACACATGCACATGAAAGCACCAAGCACCACTAAATGGAATCATTAGATTGTATTTCGGGGTGTATGACTGTGTGTATCCATATGTAAAATTAAAAGCTAAAGAGAAGCTCAAGAAATTGAGACGGAGTGAAGGTGGGACATGGGGAGAGTCGCAGTGGGAGAGAAAGGGGTAGAAATGATGTAAATACGGTACTGTCTATGAAATCCTCTTTTAAATTAAAAGAAAAATCCTTCGTCTCTTAACTTGTTCTATCTGGCATTGTGCCACATAGAAGCAAAAGCAATTAACACACCAAATACTTTAAAAGTTCTCTTACTCAGTTCACTTACTAGAAGTCAATCCCGACCAGATCACACTTCACTGAGAGAGCTGCCCTTTGGATTTTGTGGCAGGAGTACCCCATCAAACAGCCACTTTACTTTGTCTAGTTCTCATGTCCATGGGGCCTGGAGAATTCAAGTACCAGTTCCTCAGATTTTCCCAACATCCTCATGGACGGCGGGCGGCTCAACCTTACCGCCTGGGTTTCTACACACTTGGTCCTAAGGCCGGGGAGTGGTTTTTGCCTGTCTGTGTGCTTGCGAGTCAGTGTAACTGTAATAGTTTCTTCCTTTTTGGTTGATTTTCAGTGGGAGGGTCATGGCCTGGATACCAGAAAAAGGAGTTTAAATTTGCTTGTATATTTAGTTTTTCCTGGTTTTGTATGCTGACGTGACGATTTTAGCCAGGGATATTTTTTTCTGTTTATCTTTACCTCTTTCTCTTCTTCATTTTGTAGTTGTTCCTCAAATGTCAGTCCTCCTTGGCTGCCTTTTCACATTTAAGAATAAATTATTAGAGAATCTGACTAGAAGCAATGTAATGGGACTGTGGACTTCACCGGAGGGAACAGAGCAGGTGTAGACGGCTACGCAGACTGAGTTCTGTATGGCTGGATGCCCAACGCATTCTGAGACATCCTAACCACTGAAGAAGAATAGCTTCACTATATTCCTGGAGGAGGGGGAGATGCCTTGAAACATGGCATTCTAAATCAGGGGGAGGGAGGAGACTATGGGGCTCAGAATTTCAACTCCTACTTCTGTACTCCAGCCTAGCCCAGTATGGCTGACATTTCTGAACTTGAACCCCCCTTCGTGATTCAGGGTCTGTGTCAACACCCACCTCCAGCCTTTCTGGGTTGACCATTTGTGTGTGTGTGTGTGTGTGTGTGTGTGTGTGTGTGTGTGTTTGTCTGTATCTGTGTGTCTATGTGTGTGCATGTGGATATCTGCATGTGAATGCAGGAGCCCAAACAGTCCATGGGCATCTGATCTTCCTGGAGCTGGAATTACTGAATGTCATGTGCCACCAAAGTGTTGCAGGGAGCCCCACTTGTGTTCTCTGGAACAATATGCTCTGCTAATCACTGAACCATCTCTCCAGGCCAGTGATGTTATAGTTTTATAACCTTGACATTCCTCCTCACTCTAATCAAGTATATAGATTGAGATGCAGTGTGCAGCCTACACTAGGTGCTAGGTCATAGTGTTACCATGTAGTTGACCTTATAAAAGCCAACTTCTTGTCTTGGCCTTGAAATTCTGATGTCTTGCTAAGTTAAACTAGTATAAAGCAGGAGAAAATATGCAAAATTCTTCCATAAATTTGTATTTGCCCAGGGCTACTCATGAATACTTACATATGATTACACAAATTTCAAGTCAGTATTGGTTTACAATAGCTAGTAACCGAAACTTACTTCAATATGTTTTTCTCTTTATAATGAATGTTTTGCTTTTGACAATTCCGCGTACTCGATGCCCGCTGCTTACTTTCTCCTCTGCTCTCCCTTGTTTCCTTTAAACCCGACAGCCTTCTTTTTCCCTACGATTTTTTCCCATCTGCATGATTTCTTGTTTTATTTTTTGTTCCACTGAGTTTAACCAGGGCACTCTGTGTGATCCAGGCTTTGGAACTATCAATGAGAGCCTGGTAGGTTCACCAGGTGGACACACTGGAGCCTGTGACTCCCCTTCTCTCAGAATCTGTCAGTTAGGGGAGTAGAGGCATCAACAGTCTAACCCAACTGTGAGCTCTGACTTGATAATTTTTATAATACACCTGCTCAGGTTTCTATTTTACTTTGAGACTCCACTGTCAGGATTCTGTAAGGCGGAGGTGAGGCCAGCACAATCCACCCACGCAGAGCACCTTTTGCTTCGGTCAACTCTACACTGAGCTCTGAGTGTCTGTAACCAGGTCTCCTCTCCAGGGGGAAGGAGAGGAAACCCCTGCCCTGGGCCAAGGCCAGTCCACAGTGATACTTGAGGATCCTGAGCACAGGTGTCACTGCAGATCTCCTCGTGATGTTCCTCCTTTTCTCAACCTCTCGCTCCAGCCCGTTCTGGGCACCGTCTTGTGTTCAGAGCAAGAAAGGCCCCTCCATCTTAACCTTTCTACCCCGTGAGGTGACCACAGCAACGCCTCCAGCCCGTTCTGGGCACCGTCTTGTGTTCAGAGCAGGAAAGGCCCCTCCATCTTAACCTTTGTACCCCGTGAGGTGACCACAGCAACGCGATGAGCAAAAGAAAAGGTGGAGGAGGTGGGACAGGAAATGGCTGTGGTTGGTGAGGGGAGGAGGTGTCACAGAGACAGAGACATCAAAAAGCACCTTACTCATGCAATAAGAGAAGGCTCTGAGAAATGGCCTGACATCAATCACCTTCTTTTTCTAGGGAACTGCTATGAAATTTTGTCATATTTCTCTTTAGATTTGTTATCAGACCACATAATTGCTGAAGTAACACAAAAAAGGTGTTGCTTTGGGGGAATATGGTCAAATCAGAGTCATTTTCTTCTAAGAGAATCATAATTATGTGGAGAGTTGGAAGCCCTGTTACAGTGTTGAAACTTTCTGTTTTAATGACACGCACTGTCGGATTTCAGTGACAGACTTCGGGGCCATCCTAGTCCTTCCAGGGAAGGTTGCTTACCCTCTTTGGCTTCTGGCAGAAAACTCAGAGGTCACATCTTGAAAGAGAATTGCTTTTACTTTGCCACCTCACTGGAGGGAAGGAAACGAGGAACGAGGAACGGCCCTCACAGATACAGGTCTGAGACAGGAACCTCAGCTGCCAGAACGTGATCTGTTGTGCTGAGAGTCCAGGGACCCAGGCATCCTTCAGCATGGCTGAGATTCTGGTTTTCACAGCGAGTGTTTCTCCAGAACTACGCATCATGACCTAAGTAGAATTTCCGTGTGGTCTGGCATGTGGCCACCGGCAAATGTGGTCTTTGAACTTTAAATGACTTAAAATGAATTTCATGAGGGATCATGACTATCAACATGATGAAATTTAAAATCACCATGGAAACAAACCTCTGGACACGGCTCTGGGGTTCTCTAGATTAGATTAATCGAGGTGGGGAAACCTACTCTAAATATGGACGGGTGGGTCCATTCCGTAGGCCTCGGTTCCGTACTGAATAAAGCGGAGAAGTCGAACTGAGCACCTGTGTTCTTCACGCTCTTCTTTTTGAATGCCGTTGAATGTGACCCATCAACTTCCTGCACCTGCCTCCACACCTTCTCTCCCTGGTGCCCTGCCCTCCTCCTCACTGTGGAGCACTGCCCTTGCCTGGTAAGTCAGAGTGAACCCATTCTCCCTTAAGTTGTTTTCATCGAGGTGTTCACCAACCACAGCAATGTGAAAGGTGACTGATACTATAAAATGCAGATAAATCTTCAGTTCTGCCATCGACTTGTCACATCCCAAGAGCTCAGCAGCTGCCAGTGGCTCATGAGTAAATACTGTACTGGATGGCAGAGATTATTCTCAGCAATACAGAAAGTTCTGTAACGCAGCCAGCTAGAAAGACGGGCGGGTCTCCTGCACACTGATGCTTGGGTAGCCCCTCCCCTGCTTCCTCTCGGCTGTTCCTTCCCCACATTTTGTCATCGCAAAATCCAAGAAAGCTACCACAGGACCCAGATTTCCAGGTAAGGGAGTGTGGGTGGAGAGAGGGAACCGGTGTTGAATTTGTGAGGAGGGGACCTCTCTTTTGGCTCTGTCTTATAAACGTCCCGGCAAACCTGCTCTCATAAATTTTGCTTGCTGGTTCCTGTTTCCTGTCTGCTAAGTTTAAGGTACAATCCAAGTTAATGTGTTTTTCAGGGGCTGCTGCTTAGAGGATACTGAATTGCGAGGAAATTGTTCCTTCACTGATCATAGAATTTAAAACTTGATTCTTGCAAGAACTAGAGGGAAGAATTATCCCTGGGAGAACAGATAGGGGAAAAATAGGGATTCTTAACAAGCACAGCTTAGTGTGCATCCTCCTCCAAACTGGGACACAGATCCGGGGTCAACATTAGCCATTTCACCTTCTCCAACTGTCCTCAAGGGAACCTTTCTCTTTGAGGACCATCCCTTATTGGGTTCACAAAGCTGAGCTCCCCCTAGGGACTGACTCTGTGTTTCAGGAGAAGCCGGGAATGGGTGCTTGTTCATAGTCAAAAGGGTAAGAACTGAGTCAATCAGGTTAGCACCAATCAGCAGAAGCACTGATCCCTGGTTTTACCTCTGAATTAAGCTCTAAAGGGTCCTTGTGCTGGAAAGAGCGAGCCTTAGGATATAGACACTTGCCGTGCTCCAATTGCCCTATCCCATCTCTCTCCTGACACCAAGCACCAATATCATTATTGTGATCAGTCCAAGGCTTTATAAAATGTTATAGTTTCCTTTTCCAGTTATTGAAAAACTGTTTTATATATCCTCAGCCTTCAAAAATAAAGAAGAGGACTGGGGAGCTGGCTCAGCCAATAAAGGCTAAGGATTACAACCAAAAACACAAAAACAAAGAAGTAATCCTTCTTTCAAAAGAAGCATCTAGCTTTCCATTTCGAATTTGTAACTGAGGGTCCCCTCTGTGGACACCTTGTACTTAACAAGTGCACTTACGGCTCAGCTTGGTCATAGTCGGGTCCAGTCAGAGTTCTCCAAAATGTTCATGGGTAAAAGGGAAAGAAAACATTCAAAAGGGAGTCCGTTTTTTCTACACTACTACATCCTGATTAACTAGGAAAAGGGCTGCCATTTGCATAGGTCAGAATCAATCAGAGAGAGGAAAAGAACAGGCATTATTTACCAATTTCCTTATTTAGTGAATTGAGAATCACCCATTGTTCAGTACTGTGACGTTTCCCAGGAGATTAGGAAACCACCAGCCAATATTGTCTTCCTTTCATGCCATGTACAGCCTGGGAAGGGACAGTAAAACATTAAGAAAATAGGTTCCTCTTATAACTCATGTCCTTGAAGAAATCTGAGTGTGTAGTTAGAGCAACCACAAGTGGGCTCAAGAGAGCTGGCATCGCACTGTACCCTGCTGGTACAGTTAAGGGTGCTGGGGAAGATCTCTCAAGAGCAGAGACTTGGGCAGGAATGAGCTGGGCAGTGGACTGGAGCAGGAGAGTGCGGGAAATGGAGCAGCTCTGCAAAGGCCCAAAGTTAGAGGATTCTGGGAACATAGCGTAGGCCAGTGGGAGTGGAGCTTCAGACTAAGGAGGTCATGCAGAGGCTTCTAGAACATTTCGATGGTTTGAAGTATTTTCTAAAAGTAAGCAGGCCAGGCATGGTGTCACATACTTTCATCCTAGCTCTTGAGAGGCAGGAGCAGTTGGATCTCCACGGGTCAGAGGCCAGCTTCGTCTACATAGCAAAGTCCAGGCCTTCAGGAAAGTATAGTGAGACCTTCTCTGAAAAAAAAAAAATGCCAAAACTAATCAATAAGTAGAAACCATGAAGAAGGATAAAAATAAAGTGAAATTTCGGTTTTAAAATAATACCCGATGGTGGTGTAGGAAAGGGACTGGCATTGAGAATGTTCAGTTGGGAGCTGGCTGCATTGCCAGGAAATAACAGTGAATGAGCCCACGTGATGAGAGAAATGAATAATATTGATATTTTTTAAAATAATCTTTAAGACTCGATGAGAGTCTGATGCAAGTCAGGGAACTGGGGCTGTAGAGGATGCCCAGATCTGACAGGAGCTACAGGCCTTATGGTGATGCCATTTCCCGAGATGAGAAATCATGGCTAGGGTAGAATCAAGGGTTGTATTCTGGCTAAACTCTGTTGGAGAGGCTCATGACTGAGCTGATGAGAAGCTGAGGCAGACGTTTGGAACTGCAAGGAGGGTGAGGATTATACATCTCACTGTATGGAGAGGAGAGAGGCCAGGACCTTTGCAAGATGCTCTGGAAGCACATAGTTTTGTATAAGAAAAAGAATAACCTGGAAATCAAGTGTTGAAATGAGTTTTGGGAAATCAAAGTAGCAAGTTTAGAGCTGGCACCATTGCACTTTACTCCAGGAGGCAGAGGCAGGTACACCTAGACCCAGGTCTGGCTGGTAGCATACACAGCAGTTCCAGGCCAGCTGAGCCTACAGGAGCACCCTGTCTCAAAGAAAAACTAAATCAATCAACCAACAAATGAATGAGTGAAAGGCATATGGCAAAAAGTTAAGCGTTGATTGTAGGAAGCCGGGGTTCTACTTGTTTGCCATTTTCCTAAAATACTGCAATCATGTTTCTTTATCTACAGGGATTCCAGCAGCAATGGCAGCCCAGGATCATGGCCTCGGCTCCTGCTTTAGCCAGCCAAGGATCAGCTATGGTGAGAGGTGCTGGGGTGAGGGAAGGGGTCGGTGTCAGCAGCCACACTGCAGGGATGGAGGAAGGCAGGCAGGGAAGGGTATAGTCCCTCCTGTCAGACGGCCGGTGCCCACCTGAGCAGAGAAAAACGTTTGCAGCTACTGTCCTTGTGTCTTTTCACTCTCTGCTCACTCCATTCTCTGGCCCTTGTACTATCTCCCTATGACAGGCACATCAGGATGAACAGGAGAAACCAGTGGCCTCTCATTGGTCCAGGCCTCAGCATAGTCTCCTGTCTCTCCATCTCTCTGACCTTCTGACCTTCTTTCTGTCTCTCTCTCTCTCTCTCTCTCTCCTTCCCTCCTCTTTTTCTTCTGGCCTTTCAGATTGACTTTCTGCCTTTATTCAGGCTGAAAGAAGCTTGGAAGGGAGCCATATGGGGTTAATTGATCACTCCTCTGGGCCCCTGCTCTGACCACACATTGACCGAGGAGACTCGATTGGTGTGCTACTTGTCCCTCCCTCGACTCCTTTACCTGTTGTATTGACTATGTCAGTTGAGCTTTTGCTGGCTTAATAAACTATCTCACAGTTTAGTAGCTTAAAACACTAACCATTTCTTGGGTTCCAGATCTGGGGGTCAGTCAGGAAGTTCTGGGATCTAGACCACCTCCACTAACCTAAGGAAACTCACTTATGTATTGTGATACGCTAATGGCTCAGTATCAGAAACAGTCTTCTAGTCTCACCGATATTTAGAGTTCAGGACCTCTTAAAATTTTCCACTCAAACCTCCTTTTCCCAAGGAAATTTTAATGTGAACCCAGGTAGGTAAGTTATATAAAATAGGCACACAAGTTAAATATTTATAGATACCAAATCATAAAGAAATTTAAAATAAATCTTTGTTGTGTGTATAACTTACTGTTTATTAAAGATTAAAGCACATTTGCATAGTAGTGAGATGAATGTGCTTGCTTAATTTTACATAAAGTATTAAATATGGATTGAATGCTGAGGAGTGTAGAGCCTCTGTTCTGCAGAGCTGGTCAATATTTGACTTTATAGTATTCTGCTCTAAGAATGCCACTTCACATAAATACGTACTACAAAATGATAATAGTCTCAAATCTGAGTCAAGGTGTTTCAGGCAGTGTTTGCTGGCATTGTTTGTATGAGCAGGGAAAACTGTGCTTGCTGTGCCATCAGCTCAAAGGCTGGGGCTTCAGGACACACAAGTACACACTGTCACAACACGCCAATTAGGCTCTTCTGTAATTAACAGGATCTTGGGCAGGCCATGGTGCCAGGATCTGGCCTGGCTGTTGTTGTCAAGCCAGCTGCTCTGGGCATCTTCATCTTCAAACGGCAGTCACAGAAGAGCTGAAACAGAAAGCAAGCCACAGGGCTAGCAACTTTTAGAAGCCGTGCTTCACTGTGGTCCAAAGCCTGCCACAGAACACATGCAGACCCAGGGCGGCGTGTTAACTGGAAGAGCTGCAGATCCACACCCCCCAAAGTCTTAGATTCAGGATGGGAATGATTTGGGGACATATAGGTTGTCAGTATTGGGTAATTGTGGCAGGTATGAGCTCACATTTGCTGCCTTTCCAATTCCCCCACCATGACTTTCCCACTCTCCCTTCCTGTGGTCAAGAAGCCAAGGGCCTCATGACCCTTGAAATGGGGCCTTGCAGTCCCCATTTGTTGCAAAGTACATAATTATCTGAACTCCCACCCACTTCTTTCTTTCATAGATAACTGTAGCTTTCCTCTACCCAATGTGATCAGTCATAGGAATTTTGGAAATACACTTTATTTCCACTCAGGAGTCTGGTTTTCAAATGTGGGAAACATCAATGCAATGATATTACATATCTCCCCTACAGGGCTCTCAGTGGGAAGAAATCCTTTTGTAAATGAGAATTGGAAAAAAATATCTGCCCCAACATCAAGCTGTGGGTTAGCTCTAGGATTCTTAATGGGGTATCTGTGAGCAGCAGCCCAACGTTCTCATCTGAAATCATTTTATTTCTTCCACTGTGGACTAGTATGCTACAAAGCATCAGAGTAAGGAGCAGAAAACGATCCTGGAAAAAGGCAATGAAGTCAGGAAATCAAGGCAGTTACTAGTTGCCTAAGCCCTTCAAGATGCACATCAGGCCCAGAGGCTGTCTGTAGACCCTGTAAGGGCAGGGGTGTCAGCAAGAGAGCCCTCCAACCAGCAGAAGGTAGGGGCCCAGGGTGTCCAGAGTCTGCACGGGAAACTGTTGACAGTTGGGCCTAACATTTGGCTTTTCTTCCTTGATGTTCTAGCGACTGAAAACCAAGATCAGGCAAATTCCCAACTGAGAATTGTCTTACTGGGTAAAACTGGAGCAGGAAAAAGTGCAACCGGGAACAGCATCCTTGGAGAGAAAGCCTTTTACTCTGGCATTGCAGCAAAATCTATTACCAAGGTCTGTGAGCAGAGGAGAAGCACATGGGGCAGGAGAGAGCTTGTTGTCGTCGATACACCTGGTGTATTTGACACTGAGGTACGAGATGCTGACACACGCAAGGAGATCGCTCGTTGTGTCGCCCTGACCTCCCCAGGGCCTCATGCTCTGCTCCTTGTGGTCCCACTAGGCCGTTACACTGTAGAGGACCATAAGGCCACAGAGAAGATCCTGAAAATATTTGGAGACAGAGCTAGAAGATTCATGATTGTCTTATTCACCAGGAAAGACGACTTGGATGGCACTGATTTCCACGAGTACTTACAGGAGGCTCCAAAAGTCATTCGGGAGTTGTTGGCCACGTTTGGTGATCGTTACTGTGTCTTCAACAACAAGGCAACAGGAGCCGAGCAGGAGGCCCAGAGGACACAGCTGCTGACCCTGGCCCAGGACGTGGTGAGGGGGAACGGTGGAGGCTGTTATACCAACAAGATGTATGAGATGGCGGAGGAAGTGATTCAGAAAGAAACCCGTGATTTGCAAGAACGTTACAGAGCAGAGATGGAGAGAGAGAAGGCACGGATAAGAAAGGAATATGAGGAGGAAATTAAAAACCTGAAGGATCAGCTGGAGAGGGAAAAGAGAAAGTCACTTATGGAAAGGGAATTCTCACGAAGTGAAGCTGTTTATGCAGAGAAACAGCAGAGTGCCAGGAGGTATGCTCAGAATCAAAATAAGATACTTGAGTTAATCTTAAAAGCATGGGATTTTGTTTCTCTTCTCTTTGACCAGTTTATGCAAGATTAGACCTAGTGAAGGACTTATCTATACACTCTGAATTTTTCTGATAACCCTGCCTACTCCTCAAAGTATAATGCTTTGCTTAACATCTTTTAGGACTACAGATTGTAGTGAAATTCACATTGGCAACTGGTCGATGTTTGATAGATTTGTCCAGAGACTGACAAATTCACACTTTGTGAAATCCAACAGGAAGTGTTAACACTTCTACAACTGTTTTCTTCCTTGGAGACACAGAGAAGGTCACTCGGGAGACCCCAGAAGCTGGCTCTAAGATGGATCTGGTAGTTCTCCCCTAGTCAGCTGGCAGATAGACCGCCCACAGTTTCTACTCACTTATAGTTGCTTTGAGAATAAGAGTCACCTGTGTTTTATTAGAAAGCTCAGTTCTTTCCATGAGGTAATCTTTAGATAGAAGTAGATGACTGTTCAATTCTCAATGAACGTCAGTTTGCTTAATTACATTTTCACAGGACTTAAGTTTTCCTGTCTGAAAAGCAAATCTTATAACTCAACTAAGGATGTGAGAGAAACTCAACAATCTCAACAGGCAACGCAAACATTTTTGGTGCATACAGGTGTGTCCAACCCTATAACCAGTTTGGTTAACAGTCAGTTCTTTCCTTTCTTAAGACATGACCTGATTGCTCTACTCTACCCCAGTCACCCTACACTCTCCACACTTCCTGCCTCTGCCCCCACTCCATGAGTCTGCTTATTGTCATTATAATAAAGCATTTCTGTTATCTCATATTTTGCAGAATTGGAATCTTTTGCCATAAATGGTACCACAGCTGCTTGTAATGGTACAGCTATGAATTTAGTTTTAGTGGTGAAAGTGATATTTTTGAACTAGACTTGGCATGTACCCATGGAACCTCCTCTTCTTCTGTTGTCTTGTGCATGTGTGTCTGTGTGTGTGTGTGTGTGTGTGTGTGTGTGTGTGCCAGTGCATGCATACTCATGTGTGTACAAGTACATGTGCATATGTGGAGACCAGAGGAAAATCTCAGGTGACAGCCCCAGCATGCCATCAGTCTCCTTTGAGACATGGCCTCTCATTGGCCTGGAGCTCATCATTAGGCTGACTGGCTGACCAATGAGGCTCAAGGACTCTCTTATCTCCCTGTCCCTGGGATTATAAGTGCCTACCACCACAAGCAGCTTTTCTCATGGGTTCTGGAAACAAACTCAGGTCCTCATGACTGCAAGACAAGCACTTCACGGACTGATCCATTCCCCCAGCCACACTACCTTCCTTTCGCTGAAAACATTGAACCATATTCCCTATCCTTCTCTGGCCAAAGACCACAGTCTGCTTGGTTCTTCATACGTGTTAGTAGAAACAGTGTGATTAAGATCTCTGAGACATGTGAGCTTTTCTTGGTACAAAGGTTCCCTTTCATAGAGAGATAATAATTATTTTCCTATTCCAGGAATTTCTACAGTATGTTTTCATGTTCTACCAACATGTCCTGGTGGTCACCTGTTATCAGTCTTTTGTTCTTCCATATCTTGAAATTGGTTTCCCTACATCCTGAACTCCTTTGTCTCAAGGAGACAGGGGCCTCCCCATTATTTCCCCAATGCACAGAGAAGTCTAGTCTGCACATTTAACGAAAGTAGCCAAGGCTCAGTGGTAAGAGAAACGCCACGTGGAAAAGCATGAATCCTTTAAAATGATCACTCGGGACACATCTTCTGTCTCTATAGAATATGGGTTTATGTCATATCTGTTTTCATTGCTAACACTTTACCCAATGCTAAGACATGTAAGTTCAACAAACTCATTACCAAGTTGTACTTCCATGGAATAGAGTCATTGTTCTGTAGTTGGTACCCTACGTAGAGTCAGCAGATGTTAGTTCATGTCAGAACTATACATTATGATTAGCATGGGAACAGAATGAGGTTTAGACATGTCGCCTATGAAGAGTCTGGGCACTTTATACAAGTTCATTCATTCACTAACGCTGATTCCCATGGTAGTTGTAGAGGAGACAGGAATCCAGAGACAGGAAAACAATGCCCCTTTGAGATTGCATCCATTCACCTCGCTTAATGCTTTCGAGAACCAACCAAGTTACACATCTCAGTCTCTGATTCCCTTCATTGCTGAGTAATGTCCTGTTTCAGATAGGGATCTGAAACTGTGGTTTGGGTGCTGGGGTTTCCAGGTTCTTTACAATGACCTGCTCAGAGCATACATGGATATTTACTGGAAGGGAGACAGTTTATTAACGGAGCAATGCAGAGAATGCTGGAGGCCATAACATGGCTGAGGCCTGGCTCCAAAAGGGCCAAAGAAATGGCTGAGGAGCTATTTATTGGCAATAGACAGCTGCCAGGGGAGGGAGAGTTCGTTTTCTGTTTCATATATATTTGCTGAATTTTGTGCATTTCACACATCTTAATCGTATTTAACTCCCCTATTTGCACCCCATACCCTCCCCGGATTTCATGCATTCTGTCCTATATGTTAAGGCCTACTGAGTCAAGTTTGCATTCCCAGATGTAGTCAGTGCAAGTTCATCCCACTGGAGCCTGTTCAGCCTGTCTAGAGTCACCCCCTTAAAGAAGATAGACTCTCCCTCACCCAGCAGTCATCAGCTGCCAATAGTTCCTCAGTTAAGGTGGGGCTTCCTGGCCATTTCCCCAGTTCTATACTGGGTTTTCACCTGGTTTGAGTTTGCATGGGTCTTGTGCATGCTGTCTGTCACCATTGCTGTAGGTTCATATGAGCAAGTTCCCAGAAGCCTGGAGGGCTGTTTCCTTATGGCCATACACTACCCCTGGCTCTTACAGACTTTCCACTCCTTCTTCTGCAGTGGTCCCTCAGCCCTGGATGGGTGAGGTTTAACACAGGAGTCCTGTCCAGGGACATGCACCCTGCAGTCTCTTATTCTCTACACTTTGGCCCGTTGTGGCCTTCTGTGTTCACTGTGTTTACCACCCTCTGTCACATGAGGAAGGTGGTGCTGTTGAGAGCGGAGAGATGCATCAATATTCTCTCTATACCCTGTTCTGTGAGCCTTAGGTGCAGGGGTTCCACTGTAGATGTGTAACTTAGGATCAAGCATCTCACAGACATTGTTTTCTGTGTGTGACCAGTTGAGGAATTAGGTAATAATCTCCATCTGCTGCTGCTGCAAAAAAAAAAGAGGCTTCTTTGATGAGCGGTGACTGGTATGCATGTCTGTAAGCATAAAGACCCATATTAGCATGCAGTAAGAAATTACAGTTGTCTAAGGATACAGATGTAGGTTTTCTCTAAGACCTATGACATCTCCTACCATGTGTATTTGGCTGTGTTTACAGTGCCACACAGGAGTTCGCTCCCATTGAGCAAGCTTTATGTCTAATTAGATAGCTGTTGATTATCTCCAAGATAAGAAACAACCAAGGAAGTGAAGAGGAAACCCAAAGAGTGGGAAAAACTCTTCTCCTGCTGCCCATCAGACAGAGGAGACTATACAGAACATACAAAAGACAAAGAATCCAAAAAATGGCCCAATTAAAAGATGGGCTATGGATCCAAACAGAGTTCTCAGTAGAAGAAATAAAAATGGCTAAGAAATACCTTTAAAAGTGTTCAACATCCTTAGTAGTCAGGGAAATGCAAATGGAAACCTGTAAGAGTCCACCTTACCCCAGTCAGACTGGCTGAGATCAAGAGAACAAAAGGCACCAAGTGCTGGTGAGGATGTGGGGAAGGGGGACTTCCGCTCATTCATGGCTGGTGGGACTGCAAACTCATGCGACCACTATGGAAAGCAGTGTGGAGAACTCTTGAAACACTAAAAATCAATCTACCATATGACCCAGTTATACCACTCCTTGGCACATACCCAAAGGACTCATCGTACTGTAGAAATATCTGTACACATGTTTGTTGCTGTTCTTTACACAATAGCTGAGAAATGGAAACAACTTAAATGTTCCTCAGCATTTTTGATTTTCAAAAGCAGGGACCAGATCGTTCTTTCTTTGGGACCAGACATGACCTACAGATTTACTTTTCTTTCCACTCAAATAAGCCCAATGGAAGCCGCCTTCAGGCGGATACAGAGTCTTCCTTTGCTGGTGTCTTCATGCGGCCTTTGCTGGACAATTGCCTCCTTCCACAGGTTTAAAACAAGACTGAGACATTTAAGCACACTTTGGTCGCTGGTCCCTGCTATGAACTTTCATTAATGACCAGGGAGTCGCGTGTTAAGAAGATCAATACAGTGAGTCAAAATATTTGCCTCATCTGATTCAGCTGTTACAGACTTCTTGGGGAGAGGGTCTCTGACATCCTGCTGCTCACTAGCAACATTTGAAATGGTAAACGCCCAGATCCAAATTAAAGTACCTGCCCTTCCCTTTGTCCAGTACAGGATTTCGGCCCAAGTACACCTGTTCTAAAATGTGGTCCCAGAACTGCTCCACCAGTCACATGTGAAGACATTTTGGAAAGTGCATTCTCAAACCCCAGTCCATGCTTATGTTTCCAAAAACTTCCCAGATACTTCTTTAAATGTATATGGCAAATACTGGACTCTGTGAAATGCAGTATTTACTTCATAAAATGCAAAGAAAAGGGTATAGTAATTAGCAGCTTCTAACACGTAAAAGTATTAATAGAAATTTATCAAAGTGTAACAACCTTCTTAATATGGGTATTTTTTTGAGAATGGATTGTCTCTGTTAATGTTTTTCCAGTTGTCACTAACACCCAGATTCCCTCACTACACAATAAGATCTTATCAGCAGAATAGCAATGTATAGGTAGAGAAACAGACCCTCTTCTCACAGGGAAAAAGACTTGGATTTTGTCTGTCCAGGTACTGCTCCAGAAATGGGACGCTCACAAGGGTGTTCAGTCTTGCCCCTTTCCTAAGGCTTGATTGGAGCAAAGCATTGCACGGTGCATGTGTCTGTGTATTTCCTTATTTCAAGCGTTCAGACACTCTCCGTTTCTCCCGGGTTTGGCTGCTTTCTCTTCTATCCAGAGTTCCCCTACAGAACTTAGCCAGTTAAACATTCCTATAGGATTGTAAGTCAAATTTGAGCTTTTAGAGTTTATATTCTTCACCAATCTATGGATCTTATATAGAATTGACAGGCCTTTGATCTGACAGCAGCTAACCAGTTCATGCCTGCTCCATGGCTTCTTCTTCCTTACAGACAGAACTACAGAATTGCTTAGAAAGCAAAGTGCCCCTGTGAATACGGAATTCCCACAGGATTTCCTGTGGGTAGCAGCAGCTTTGTGACCAGGAAACAGAAACTGAAGTACTGTGGGGATTTCTGCATCTGTTTAGATTTTGTAATAAAAGGTCGTGTTCTGAGTGTGGTTGCTATCTTCCTCTTCCCCTCTGTAATAGGACAGGAGTCACTGTCAAAGAATGTTGGGGTATGGAGAGAAGCAGATGGTTCACTGGGCAGTTACGTTAATCCTAGACTCATACTCAGAACCCCACTTTGTCACATCAAAATCAATCCATTTGATTAAAAACAGCTATAGTGAAGTTTCTCTGACATGCAGCCAAATAGTCTCAACATGATGTCTCCTGATGGAGAAGCTATCCCCAGCTGCCACTGGAATTTTAGACCAGCTGCAACAGAGAAAAGGAAAAGTTAGCCAGGACGCCCCCAAAACATCCTGCCGGAGTTGAGAAATTTAACCTGAGTTACCTCAGCTGAGACTCTCTTGTTGACTTCA